TACATGGACCCCTTTCACATGGAAAATATTGTGGAAATATTTGATAGACTTGGAATTGTTCTGGATGTGTATTATTATGAAAGGTATAAAATAGATGAGTATGTTTTCGATTGGTAAAATACGCAATCTATCGAAATGAAAATAATAAAACCAAATCTTTGTAACAGTATTGACAAATTTCGTTGATTACCACTGTAAAAAATCGTATATGGTAGAAGCTCACTCAACATATTCTTCATCCAAAAGGCTGGGGTTGAATGCTGCCTTTTAGGTCATGGACTTTATTGAACTCTTGTCCATTTAAAAACTTGTTTACTCGGTAATTTATTACAGAATTCTCCTGAACAAAATAATGAGATAGTGTAATTACATATTTTACAGTCTGGTTTGGTTTTTTATTGAATATGTTGGCTTTCTTGGTAAGTTGGAGTAGCACTGAATCGTTGATAACCCTTAATTACCTTATTGATAGCATCGAGCATATCCTTTTCGGAAACTGTCTTTCTTCTTGCTCGAATAGCAAACATACCAGCTTCTGTACAAACAGATCTAATTTCAGCACCTGTAGCATTAGGACACAAACGAGCCAATAATTCATATCTGATATCCTTGTCAACGTTCATATTCTTGGCGTGAATTCTGAAAATGTTAGTTCTTGCTTCAAGATCTGGAAGACCAAATTCAATCTTACGATCCAATCTACCAGGTCTCATCAAAGCAGGATCCAGAATATCTGGTCTGTTAGTAGCCATGAGAACCTTAATATTACCACGAGCCTCAAAACCATCCAATTGGTTGACAATTTCAAGCATAGTTCTTTGAACTTCATTGTCACCACCAGCACCATCGTCAAAACGAGTACCACCAATAGCATCAACTTCATCAAAGAAAATAATACAAGCTTTACGTTGACGAGCCATTTGGAACAATTCTCTTACCATACGAGCGCCTTCACCGACATATTTTTGAACCAATTCAGATCCAATAACACGAATAAAGGTAGCATCGGTTCTGTTAGCAACAGCTCTAGCAAGCAATGTTTTACCAGTACCTGGTGGACCATAGAGCAAGACTAATTTTTCAATTAAAGTAAAAACTCAAATAGTGACACTTACCTCCTTTTGGTGGGTCAATACCAAGACCTTCGAATTTTTCTGGATGGAGAAGTGGTGTCTCAACAACTTCACGGATTTTATCAATTTGCTCCTTAGATCCACCAATATCATTATATGTAATATCTGGTTTTTCTTCCACAGTCATCATTGTAACACTGGCATCAATTTTTGGAGGGAGTGGAATACGAATTTGATATTTTGTACGATCAACACCAATACGCATACCTTCTTCAATATCTGTTGGTGCTACGTTTTCTCCTAATCCTACAACATATTTAGCAATTTGACGAACATTGATGAGGTACTTTGGTTCCTCTTCATCATCATCAATAATTTTTGTACATCTAGCAACTTGCAATGGCATTTCATGTTGAAGAGTTGCTTTATCTTGTTGAATATCCCAAAGACTTGGATTTGCCAAGCCAGTATCAGATTCCTTTACACCACATAATTCATTTACTTCTTGTACCATTTTCTTAAGGCCATCTTCTGTTTCTTTTCTATGATATTGTTGATTCAATAATTATAAAATTGATCCAAATTAATCCGAACAATAAAATTGTAGCAAGTTGATCAGGTTGTAAATCATCATTTTCAGTCATTAATGTTAGTGTTATGAGTTATTGTTATTAACGAAAATATAGTAGATATACATTATTATACAATATAAGTAATATGTTAAGATTGTACAAAATCTAAGCTACTTTGTTTTGAAGCTAGCGACTTACATTTTTCCAGAGTATGGTCCTTGTCCATATCGTTTAATCAATTTAATTTCTTCGGCATCCAATGGATTTATAGGTGTATCTTTCTTTTCATCTTCCTTGTTATCACTTGATTCTGGTTTCTTTTCCTCTGGTTTCTTATTGTCTTGTTCTTGTTGAGACATTTTTTGATTTTGTGTTGTATGGTGTGTTTGAAGTTAAGTGCTAAAAATAAAATTGTGTTTCCGTATTTTTAGTCTTCTGCATGATCCAAAGCTAACATCAGCTGATTAGAAAACAAAATGTTGATGATGGATTTGTAATAAGATTGAATTCATTTATTGTTTGATTTTAATCATAGTCATTGAAACTTTGTTCCTCATTTTCAAAGGATCCAAGTATTTGCTCCAATTCTTCACTTGGCATGAATACTTCACTGCCATAAGTTGGTGGAATATTTGTCACGGTTGGAAGAAAGTTATGTTGTAAATGTTGTGGATTAATATCAGCAAAGGATGGTGGTAAATGAGTTTGATTGATCATATTTACATCAAATGAATGTTGTTGGGATTGGATTGAATTATTTCTCATAGAAGATGCTTGAACACTGATAGTGTTACAAATTTGGGAAAGAAGTTCTGATACAGAGGGATCATTAAGCGTATTATTTGTTGGATTGATGGGAATAAATGCTTGTTGAGGTGATTGGAATTCTCCAGATGAGCTAGAACTAGTGTACGGTGATGAGGTTGAGGAAGAGGATGAAGACATGATTTCTTCAAATCTTGGAGGTTGAGGATTAACATTTCCAAATGGTAAGTTAGGATTCATAGTTGGTGCTGTTTGAGTGTTAATTACAGGTTGTTGGGTAGGTGGTTGTTGTCTCTTTGCAATTTGGGATGTTAATTCCTCAATTGAATTGACAGTATTGGTTCCTTCTATTACTTCTGCTTGTTCTTTCATAATTATTCCACAAAACTTGTTAACTCTTCCATATCTTGTTCCTAGTATTTTCAAAGCTCTTAATCCTTTAGCTACATAATCGTAATAGTCAATACCCTCTGCTAAATTAACTCGTTTTCCAACTCTTATCATTCTAATTATTGACAAGTGAACTTTACAAGCGCCAGCCACAACACTGGTTAAGGCTACAGGTACAACTGGGAATGTTTCTTTTGTAGTTTCATCAATAATCTTGTTGGCAGATACTTCAATTAAGTGACCTCGAATACCAGCCTCAATTAAAATTCTCATTCGAGAACCATGATAGACCATACTGTCAGTAATGGTGGCTAATTCTCGTTGTTCAGGAGTAAACGAAAATGTTTGATTGTGAAGAGTAAGGAATGAACAAACGCTATCTAGTAATCCAAGATAACTAATGACGTTTTGAGGAGTAATTTTCTGTTTAGCAATTGTCATATATTCCTCTGGCATTTGTCTACCAGTGGCATATCTATAAATTAATGTCAGTCTTGTACACATGAAATGTTCATCTTCAGTTGAGTGATAATTTTGTGAATCTATACTCAATCGTGTAACTGTTTTAACCTTGTCCAAATTTTTCATTTCAGGTGTCAAATTATCATGATCCAACAAGTTCTTTTCTTTGAAATAGTAATCTACATTATTTAAATAGAATCTTGCTCTACTATCATCTCCTTCTCCTGCAAAAAAGTAACTAATGTAATTAAATGTACTAACTACAAAGAAATCGTCACACTTATCGAATAGGGATGATAAAAGTTGTTTTGAAATATTGATATCTTCCATAGCTCGTTCTCGTCTTCCTAATCGTTGTTCAACAAGGGCTTGAATAGAAAATACTAAAGCCATCAATTCTGTATTATTATATGGATTTTCTGTAAAGAGAAAATCTTCCAAGACTTTTCTTCCAACAACAGGATGCCCTCCTGAAACAATATTGAAATAAGAATCAATAGTATTAATTTTCAAAAATTGTTTGTAGAGAGAGTAATTCTCGCTTAATAAATTATTCAATGTTGATGGAATGAGCATTGTTAATTTCTTTCTTAATTCAAAATCTTGTTCTGGATTTGTAGGAACAGGATATGGATCTTTTCTTTGAGAGTATTTCAATCTACTTCCTTGTATTTCATTCTCCGAACTTATTAATAAATTACTTGCTTGATTTTGAGAAATTGCCAATTGATTTGTTGATGATCCTGGTGCTCCTGTATCCTTCTTCTTTTTGTTTTTACCTCCTCTAATTCTTCCTTTCTTTTTTGGTTCTCTATATATACATTCTCTTCCTCTTAGTTGGCATTCACTGCAAATTGGTAATTTCTATTTAAATAATAATAATTAATATTAATTTCAAAAGTATGCAATTTATACTTACCTTGTCACACTACACAATGATAAATTAATAATCATACAAGTTAAATTCCTTACCTTTTTATGCTAAACAATAAATAAATTAATAATCAATTAATTGATAAAATCCTTACCATACTTCTACAAGTTGCACAAGCAATAGGATGATATGAAAAATTTGGATCTCTTGGTGTATCATCATTATCAAATTCGTCATCATCATCAAAATCATTAGCTTGTTTTCCAACAAGAGATTCTGAGCCGAAAGTTGACATCGGATTGAATTCTCCAGATGAACTCATGATGTTGTTATTATTATTGTTGTTATTGAGAGTTTTTATATAAAATTTCAAAGATTCTTTTAAATGTGATTTAGTCGATCGAACAACTCCTATTCCGCAACAATCAAGTATTAATTTTCTTTAATTTTTTGTTGTGTGTTGTTGAATATTTTCTGATTCAATTTGTCAATGATGATGTTGACGTTTGTTTTTGCTAATGTTGTGGTGATGAAGGAGATTTGGAAATTTGCCGTTGATTTTTAGCAGCAAGCTTGGCCTTCTTCTCTCTTTGCGCAAGTTTTTAAAAATTTGAATGAATGGACAAGGGAAAAATAAAAGGCAAGGTTGTTGTATAATACCTCAATGATTCCTACTCAAAATGAAGTCGTTAGATTCCTTATTAATATGATGGAAACATTCATAATACTGTTATAAATTGAATATCTGGATTGTCAGAGTTGAGTTGTGTGAATAGGTTTATTTATCCTTGAGCAACATCAGCAGCTGGTTCAGCAACTTCTTGTTCTCCAGCAACTTCAGCCATCTTGTGAGCAATCTGTTCAACAGCTTCCCAAACGAGGTGAGCTTCTTCTGGATTGGCTTCTTCATCATCAGATGGTTGTTGTTGTTGTTGGAGCAGTAACCTTGGTGACCTTGACCATCTTGTGAGCCATCTTTTCAACAGCAGACCAAGCTTGTTGAGCTGGGTTGACTGGAAGAGTAGCTTGCTTTGGAACAACAGTAGTAGCAGCAACAGTTTGTTGTTGTTGTTGTTGAGCTGGGGTAGCAATAGTAGTAGTCATAGCAACAGCTTCTTGTTTAGCAGCAGATGCAGATTGTTCCAATAAAGTCTTCATTTCTTCCAAAGCCTTCTTCATAACAGTTTGAACAACACCCTTGACTGGGAGGACAAACTTTGGTCCATTAGCTTGTTGTTCTTTAGCGAATTTTCTCATTAATTTTCTAACAAAACGAACGGAACGAGAGAATTTCTTTGACATCTTTAAAGAATCAACCCAGTTGGTGACTTCTTCAGTTCTTCCTTGTCCCTTCAAGATGAGTAAATAACGAACCATTCTAGCGAGATTAGTGATGGATTCATTCATTTCCTTCTTATCGAATTGTCTTCTTTTAACGGAAGTGGACTTGATCAAATTCAATGACTTTAGATCAGTGAGTAAATTTCCTAAAAATACACTTGGTTGTGGTGTTTCTTCTTGTTGTTGGGCGAGAACAGATGAATGTGCTGACAACAACAAAACCATCATCAAGGTGGCAACGACAGCAAGTTTGACAAATGACTTCATTTTTTAATAGGATGATATTTTTACTCATTACAGCTTTCTGAGACAGTGATTGGCGCATTAAGTGAATGTGGTTATAATCTCTGTTTTAGTTGTTAGGATTGAAATCAATTTGATTACAATAAGAAAAACAATAGTTTGTCAAGCTATTCGAAAGGTTTTTTTGTTTTCCAGCTTGTAGGTTTCCTTTCTCCTTTACCTGCAATAAACAAGCAAGATTCATAATGGTGAGAAAAGGAAACATAGAGTAAAAAGCCAAAAATGGAGTCATAGGGAATCGAACCCTAGACCTTCTGCATGCAAAGCAGACGCTCTACCAACTGAGCTATAACCCCTACTATTTTGTTTTTTAAATATACTACTCCATTTGTTAGATTACAATGAGCTCTGTCTCGCGTTATTGATCTAGTGTGTACTAAAAACTTGATTATAATTTGAATAACATTGAACCTTCAAGCCAATTAGCATAAAAAATGAAACCATTTACACTTCATTCACAAGGTGGGTTTTTTCTCATGACTATTTGATTCCAATAAGAATGAAAGCAATATTTGCTGATGATATTTGTGTTGAAATATTTTCCTTCTTATCCGAAGATTGTAAATCGATGATGATTTATTCTCTTGTTTCAAATCAGTGGTTAACAATCATTCGAGAAAGGTCGAATATTTCTCTTTGCATCAACACAAGAAAAATGGTCAACCATGAATTGTTGAATTATTTTACAAAGATAAAGTTTGCGCCATCAACATTTAATGACCTGGGATTTAACAAGATCAATACGAAACGATTAAAAGAGATTGAAATAATGTATAATCGGCTTGGTGTTGAAGGAGCAAAATTGATTGGAAAATTGTCTCAGTTGACTATTTTAAATATCAGTAATAATCAGATTGGGGATTTAGGAGCTCAATCAATAAGTGAATTGAAACTACTAAAGGAGCTTTTTGCTGATAACAATCAAATTGGCAATACAGGAGTCAGTTTTATAAGCCAATTGAAACAATTACTCAAACTTTCACTGATGGGAAATTATTTTGACAATGAAGGTGTTTATTCAATTAGTAAAATGGACCAATTGACTGAACTGGATATAGGAACGAACAAAATCGATGAAAAAGGGGCTCAATATATTGGTGAAATGAAACAATTAAGGAAACTTTTCATTTCTGGAACTCAAATTGGTTCAGAAGGAGCTAAAGCCATCAGTGGATTACCAAATTTGACCAATTTAAATATTGGATACAGTCAGATTGGGATTGAAGGTGCAAAATATGTTTGTGGAATGCATCAATTAACTCAACTTGGAATTGGAAACAGCAGAATTGGAGTTGAAACAGCTAAACTAATTGGTCAATTGAAACATTTAACTTTTTTGGTGATTGAAGGTAATAATATAGGTGATGAGGGTGCAAAATATATTAGTGAAGCTAAATTGAAGAAATTAGTAATTAGCAATGGAAGAATTGGTGGAGAAGGCGCTCAATATATTGCTAAATTACATCAATTAACTAATCTTGACATTAGTTGTAATAATGTGGATACAGCAGGTGCTAGATCAATAAGTAAATTACCCAATTTGACAATACTCGATATAAGTGTCAATAAAATTGGATCAGGAGGAGCAAGATTGATCAAAGGAATGACCCAATTGACCAAAGTCATTCAATAAAACAAGAGCATATGTAATTGGAAACTTTATTTATCAATATTGTTATTCTCCATTTTCCGTTCAGTGGATTGGAAATCTTGCCATTGTGAATATAACAATGAATAAAAGCTAATTCGTATTTTTCGAAGTTATCTGTTCGGTTGTTGAATTCCCTTATTGGAAATAAGGGATTATTGGAGTTTTCAATTGCGTAAGCACAATCAATCGCTCAAAAACATTCACAACCAACGCACATTTCGAACAACATAAACACAGTTCTACCAGAACATGTTTCTGTTTCAAATAGCATCAAAAAAATTGTTGGAAAATCATTGAAGAATGTCCCAAAGAAACTATCAACTTAGAACTTACACTCTCAAAACTAAAGAAAGTGCATTACAATACAGAGATATTTGGTATGATCATGTTGAAAGTTTGAAAGTGGTTGGAATTCAAACTCATGGAATTTTCATTCCTGTTGATTGTGAGGAGCAAGTGATTGCCTTGGTTAGTTACAATACTGATAAAACAGTTGAGGAATATACATTGGAATATATGAATAGTGAAGGATTTAAGAAAGATGTCAAGGATTTTGATATTTCAAATCTTGTCAAAGTTGAAACAAGAGAAATGACAGCTATTAAAGGATCTCCATTGCAATAAAAAAGAAATGACAACCAGATAACATCCAAATGTGTTAATAAACTTTGCTCAATTGAAAAGTGAATGGAAATAGAGTAAATAGCCAAAAATGGAGTCATAGGGAATCGAACCCTAGACCTTCTGCATGCAAAGCAGACGCTCTACCAACTGAGCTATAACCCCTACTGTTTTGTTATTTAAAATATACTACTCCATTTGTTATTGGAGGTGAATAACTATGTCAAACTAAATCCACCTTTTTAGATTCTCCTCAATCATAGTACAACTTTGTAACAACAGTTTCGTTATGTTTCAAACTTAGAATTGATTCAATTTCACATTAAAATAAATATCACGATTCAAATTCAAAACTCAACATGAACGTTCAATTTCAAATTCAACTTTTAACTGACACAACGCTAGCAAATTTGTTAAAATCAACTCGAAAAAAATAACTCTACCGACCATCAACACCAATCAACACACAAAAATGAAATCTTTCAAAGGCTACGAGAGAGTTTGGTATCCTCCGATGAATGAAGAAAGTTCTCTGAATTATTCTTCTTCAAATCAACATGAAAAATTCCCATTTTCTTTAATATCCTATAATATTCTTGCTCAGGCACTTTGTAATAGACAGGGATCACAGAAATACTTGACCAAGTCACAAGCAAGGTGGAATATTAGAAGAAATAATTTATTGAATGAAATTTCGCATTATAATTCCGATTTGATTTCATTACAGGAATGTGATTTTTATGATAGTTTTTGGAAATCAGAATTGGAAAGATTGGGATATGAAACATTGTATAGTCAACAATTTAATTGTGAAAAGAATTATCAACCAATGCCATATGGATTATTGACAGCTTTCAAAAAGGACAAATTTAAATTATTGGAATTTGTTGTTTTGGATTATCAGAAGGAAGCTTTAAAAGATGTCAATATTACTGATATTGAAATTTACGAAGCCAAGCTGAGTGGAAATATTGCTCTCATTAGTGTACTATCACCGATTGACCATCCTGAGAAGGTTCTTATCCTTTCTAATACTCATCTCTATTGGAGACCAGCATGCAATTCAGTTCGTGTCAGACAAGCACTCATTCTCATGCAAACAGTTCAGAAACTGAAAGAAACCTATGATAGCCAATCGTCGTACGAATCGGTTGAGTATGTCTGTACCGGGGACTATAACACTTCTCCGAATGATCCACCCTATATTCTCCTAACAACAAGGAACCCCTCAAATAATGAACCTTTCAAGGGCGATTACAATGCTGTAAAATTGTGGGAGGTTATCAATAATGGAACAGATGACGAATTTATTAAGGAATTTCCTCTTGTGTTTGTTGAGGAAATCAAGTTGGTTTTGGAATCCAAGTTACAAATGGAGTCGTCATTACAACTAACCTCAAATAGTATAACTGTGGCTGATCCATTAAACGGCCAAGATTGCACGTCAATAGACACTGTATCTCGAGAATCAACAGAGGAATGCAACCAGGGTATTAAGGATACTGTTGTTTCCCAAGAGGAGGTTGAGAGAATTTTCAAAGAGCAATACCAGCAACGAATCAGAAACATTAAGCAGTGTATTCATCAATTTTCTTTATCTCTCCCTATTATTTCCCTTTATACATTCTATAATAGTCACTGTGACAAGGAAGAAGATATTAAGGCCATGAAGGTACACGAAAGGTGGAGCAATAATGACTTACCCTATACCACATATACGCCTCATTATATTTCCACTCTGGATTATGTATTTGTTAGTGAAAATTCCACACTTTCATTAACACATCTCTTATCTGTTCCGACACCTCAACAAATTCAAGAGGAACACTCACAACTAACTCAATTGTTGGAAGAGAAGGATTCTGGAGATAGTCTCGTTTGGATTCCAAACGATATTCACTCATCTGATCACTTTAGTTTGGGAGTAAGGATGTCCCAATAAGCGACATTAACCTTACCATGTTTTATCTCTCCATAGTAATAGGGTACTTTATTTGTACCAAAGGATTTGTTTACTGTATTTTTGCTTTTATTTGGACAAGTGTTTCTTCTTTATGTGTGCAGCATTCTTGCCTGCTAAGTGTGTTAAAACTGTACAGTGTTTGCGCAACCAACACCAACACCACAACAACCTCTTTTTCAATTTGCAAATGGCGTGTTTTTCAAAGTAAAACAAAACATCAATACAATAACCAATTATTTTCTCTTCTGAATCAAGACAATTTTTATACTCATAGTAATAATCCAATATCAAGACATTTTGTTGTGTGGAAACATTCAACAAGATCAAGGCAATATTATTACTACCTCCACTACTACTATAAATTTTGTACACTATATTTATTTATTAACCAAATCCCTTAGAATCCCTTAAATTTTGTTCCCGCCCGAACTTAATAATCCCTCATATCAACCTCCCCTTTGTACTTTTAACATCAAACAACTTAATTATTTAAACTATTTTAAATAACAGACATTGTACTTCTACTACCAATATTTAACATTAAACAACCCTCAATACAACCATCAAAATGGGAGCCAGCCAATCTAAAAAGAATCAACAAGCACAACAAGTTCAAACTCAACACACACCACTCCGAGAGGAACGATCACAGAGTTTACATTCATCAAGTACTCCAATTCCTGTCAAGAGACAATCCTCAACACCTGTTGTTTCCCTGACCATGAAACGAAAGACCTCACTTTTCACAGCAAAGAGTGCAAGCCCACCTCCAACACGAGTCCAGTCAGCAACGAGAAATTCACCAATAGTTTCGGCGGCTCCTGAATGCAGAAATGAAGATGACTTGATAATTGGTACTCCACCAAAGAAAAGAAATAGATCCTTCTCCATGCCATATAAAGTTGTTCCACTGAATGTGAGTAGTGAAGAATCCATGTGGAGAGAATTAAGGAATGCTAATAATGGTGAAATGCCAACTCGATGCCAATCAGCACATTCAATGCCACAAAGCCCAATCTTACCAACTAGTCCAACAAGCCCAGAAGGTCGTCTTCTTCGACGATTGTCAAAAGCTCACTCTAAGAGTGAACAAGATTTACCATCCATTCTCGTCACACCACCTAAAGAGATCTCCAATTTGGAACACTTATCACCTTCACAACGAAAGAAATGTCTAGCCAAAAGTCCAACAGTTTTATCTGGTCTGAAAACGCCGTACATTATCGAAACTGGTGAAAATCTTCCAAAATCTCCAATTTTTGCTAAGGGTGTTTTAATTAATGCTTAGTTTTTGTGAATAAAACACTCTTGTTGTAAACTTGATTTCCAAATTGAAAAAAATGAGTGATTCTCAATCTTGTGATTGTTCAAATAACTGTCAACAGTCGGAAAAGCAGCCGGAGAAGGCAAAAATTGCAATGCCATGTTACAAGAGGATAGTATTGGAGCCTGGAAAGACATACTTGTATTGTATGTTAATTATTTAAAGAAATTTTAAATATTAAATATTATAAATAATTATTTAATTATAATTGAAAATAAAGGTACATGTGGATTTAGTAAAGAGGAGGGAGGAGCATTTTGTGATGGAACTTGTAAAACAGATGAAAATATTAAAGGATGGGAACCAAAGGAGTTTACTGTTAAGCATTTCAACACTGGAGGATATTCAATTTGTTTATGTAAAAGGTTTGTTAATTCTTTAGAATGTTTCGAATATATGTGAATGAATTGTGAATTGTGAATTTTGAATTATTATAAAAAATATATGTATCATAACATAGAACTGAAAGAGCTCCATTCTGTGATGGTTCTCATATCAATTTGGATTGGTAGGATGAATATTAAGGATTATAATAAACATTACGACTATTAAATATTAAACCATTAAACATTCCAATAAAATTGTTCCATTTCACACACAAGGAACAATGAAAGAACTTCAATATCGAGTTGACTCTCCTCACATTACAATCCAAAAAAAATGTCATCATCACTCGTGAGTGGAGCATTTCATGACCTTCCGTTGGAGGTTGTTATTGAATTTATATTTCCCTTTCTGATGGATGGTGAGTTGGTGCATCTCCGTATTCTCTCCACTCATCTCCAACAAGTACTCCAGAGAAATATTAAAACATTAACATTGAATCATAATAGAGTGGCCAATTATGTATTAAAGATGAGTGATCATGAATCATTGTTTAGATTATTGGGAAAATTGGAGAATGTTCAATATTTGAAGGGAATTAAACAAATTTATAATCACGAGCTTATTGAAAAAATCATTGCATGTTTACCCAAATTGAGGGATTGTGAAGAGTATTTCTATATGGGAAGAGCAAAAATTGCTGGATTGTGTCCAGAGTATGAAATTGTTGATATTTCGGGTATTTTGTGGATGACAGATGAGGAAATTGAAAATTTAAATGTTAAAAGATTCAAGATTGGACTTGTTGGAGAATGTACAGGTCATAAGGACAGATTTTCGCAAGTCTTTAAGAAATTTCACTATTTGGAGGAGATTAGGATGGAATCAATGTATTCTCCTTTTGTTCTTTGGAGTCTTATTAAGGAGGAAAGAGAGTTTAGGATTGAATACAATAAGAAATTATCAATGACTGAAAAACAAGATAATGGTGGAGATTATTATCCTGAAACAATACATATCAAGATTAATGATGAAGTTAATATTGACCCAGAGTTTCAATTCAATTCTCATTTTCCGCTAAGTGTTGAAACGAGTAGAAAAGAACAACTTCAAGAGTTGGCTCCCTATTGTGAAAAGATTGATTATTATGGAAGTATTAAGGATTTGCTTTTACTGTTGAAAAATGAGGGCAATATTAAGCAGTTGAAGGAATTGGATCTTTCCAAAAATAATCATAATTGGATAACTCCAAGGAATACCATTCAATCAACTGTTATTGTAGGAGATGAGAAATTATCCAATCTCACTATGGAATTGTTCAGAAAGGTTATTGTTCAATTAATGAACCGTTTGAAATCATTACAAATTGTCAAATTATCATTACCATTCACCATTCTAGTCTTGTTTGGAAAAGACCTGAAGCCAAACATGTCTCATTATAACCTTGAAAAGCATGCAATTTTAGATTGGATTCCATTGAACTATTATGCATCTGTGGAAAATTATGGAGAAACTATTCCCAAGTTGATTTTGAAAAAGAGGACAAGCTCTCCTCAATACAAGGAGCCAACAGAATATGAAACAATTGATTTTTCCATATTGAATCCTCCCAAAGTGCAAGTAAAACCTATTGGAGATATATCGAATGATTATCAACCAACAGGTTTTGGATTACTAGATGATGTATGGTAATTAAGTAACTTTTAAACTAAACTTCAATGAATTGCTATAGCGAACCTTAGTCTTAATGAAATCTGGATTTTTGATATTATTCTCAAGCATTAGGGAAACCATAAATTCCTGATCGAATAACAAATTCTTACTAATGAATGCCAAACAACCTATCTTAACTTTTCATGAGGATTGCTTTTTCAGCAAAGGTTTTAATATTTCTCTTCTTGACAGGGAATTTTTCAAAACAATCATCATTGGTAAGCTGTATCATATCTATAATGAATTTTTCATTCTTCCAAACACTTTCTGGTAAATATTTAAATATACAAAGAAATCCATAACCACACGAAATCAATTTTCTCACAAAATATTCATCGGAAAGGTAATCCTTTGGAATTAAATTCCATTCCTTATCACCGTAGATTCCTTCTCCGTTACAAAGTAAATTTAAGGATAAATATTTGTAGTTTGAATTAGCAACAGCCCGTTTTGTGAGATTTGAATAGATTCTTTCAATCTTCTCATCAAATAGCACAATATCCAACATGATAATTACATATCCTTCATCTCGTTTAATCTTTTTAGATAGAGTTTCATTTTCAAGTAATTGGGCTTCTTGCTCTTCGTTGTTGTTTGATTCTGGATTGGTACTTCTTGTTCTCTTGTTGGTCATTTTTTTTAAACTTGTTAAGAAATGATTTACTTTCAGTAAGGCTCCTATTAAGGAAGGCCCTGCAATGAATTTAACAAGTTGAAAATTTTAAATTGAATTTGATAAATAAATAATTTATTGTTATATTATAAATAGAGGTTTTACAAAAAGTTTGTTTTTGGGATGTCAGATCTTGCAATGATTAATTTGATACTATCATCCCACAATTCATTTTGAAGTCTAGTATTATAGGTATCAGGTGCTGAATCAACAATTTCTCTTCCATCAAAATATTTTCCAGTCACACTATCAAGATTCCTATCCACAATTAATTGTTTCAAATCGCCACCAGAAACTTCCAATGTTCTAACACCACTATGAACAAATCTCAATAAAGGTAAAACATTTCTTGCAATAGATCTCAAAACCTTATTGTAATCTCTTGATAAACTTGTAGTTGGTACAAAACCTGGATTATATAAATTGACAGTAAATTGATCTCTATAAATTTGACGAGATTGCAATCTGGTAATCAATTCATAGGCACATAAAACATTACAGAACTTGGATGTAGTATATCTAACACTGCCAAACTTGCTGTTATCTTGATCTGTATTCGAATCAGTAGGAATGATCGCTAACTTTTCAGCAGTTTCAAATTCTGGAGCTGGCATTCCTCCAAACTTTTTTCTTCCATGAATATCACTTGATACTATTACAATTCTATTCTTGGAATTGGTTGATTTGGTAAATAATGGAAGTAACAAATTAATTAATAAGAAGTGTCCAAGATGATTGACTCCAAACGTGGCCTCATAGCCTTCTTCTGTCAAAATTAATTTGTGTACAAAAGATACACCTGCATTGCAAACAAGTGAATGAAGAGGTGGAATTTTGGAATTGTCAATTAAGGATTTGAGTTCTGAAACAAATTGCTGAATTGATTTGAAAGAGGCCAAATCAAGTTTCAAAGCAGTAATTTGACCCTTTAGTTCAGATTCGTTTCTTTCAGGGTGTTCCTTCAAATAATCTTGAACAAACGCATCCATTTCACTATTTGATAACTCAACACCTCTACATGCCATTACAAGATGTTTAGTTTTTCTATTCGAATCCCATTCCTCTCTCAACATTTGTCTTGCTGCTTCCAAACCAATTCCACTGTTACAACCAGTAATAATAACACTTTTATATTCTTCTTCTTGTTGTTGACTCATTTTCTTTTTTTGTTTTGAACTGTTCAGTTGAAATTTGTCCATCCTCTTAAAGTAAATTCATCTGTTTCAATTTCAATGGAATGAAAATCGAGAGGACATGATGGAAATATTGGAAAATCATGTCGTGCGTACTAAACTAACATTCAACTTATTTCAACCAATGAAATTCCTCCTCATTCGAAACTCAGTGGTTATTGGTCAGTTAAGAGTTTCATTGAATGGACAAATAGTTTGTCCACACTAATTTGAAATACCATCAACAGTTTTTTTCAAAACCTTTTCAATTATTGGCATTCTAACACTTGAATAAATAGGCAAGAAGGAAGAATCTAAAAACAATCTGAAGAACAACTGTAATTTGAAATTCTGTAATTAAGCTGCTGAACATGCACTCAAAAAAGCACCAACTTGGAATAGTTCATCAACATTCAACAATAGGAATGTTTTTCTTGGCCATCCATTACAAAGACCCATTGCTTGATTTTGAATAGCTAGATTTTAATACTTAGGAATTACAATAACAACATACAAGGCAGCTTTTGGAATTTGAACTTTAAAAAAAAAAAAAGAACAAAAAACCTCTCAAAGAAATATGGATCAAATTTTCCAACAAACCAAAGACTACTTTGAACAATTAGATCAAGTCAAGGAAAAGATTCAATCATGTACTCGTGATTTGGATGAACCTTTGGCTCTCTTGCAAGGAATTTTCCACAAGATTCATCAAAATAAGTCAAATTATAAGGAACATATCACCGAATTGTGTTCATCATCCAATCAATACATTCAAAAATGTTCGGAATCTTTGATGAGACTCTCGGAATCAATTCCAGAAAATAGTTATTACAAGTATTATAATATGTGGCAATATAGACTTTCCAATTTATGTTCATTGATTGCTTTAAAGCACTTTTTGACAAAGGATTTGGAAGATGATTTGGATCACGCTTTGATTACCAAAGATCAAGTTGAACAATTGTTAGGAATTGATAAGATGAAGAATTTCTATCTTCCATTAGAAGATTATTTGTAAGTATTAATTTGTCCTTTTAATAATCATCAAATCAATATTATTATTCATATCGAATTGAACGATGATATTTTACTACTATGGATTATTGATTTAACAATTGATTGATTGTAAAATTTAGATATGGATTGTGTAATTTATTCTCAGAATTGAATAGATATTGTGTAAATTGTGTAATTAGATTGGACTTTGCCAAACCATTCCAAATTAAGGAATTTTTGACTCAACTCTATGATGGTTTTAAATTATTGAATTTAAAGAATGACTCACTCAGAAAACGATTCGATGCTATCAAGTATGATGTAAAGAGATGTGAAGAAATTGTCTATGATTTATCAATCAGAGGATTAAACCCAAGTGGCAAATCAGTTAATATCAGTGCTGATATTAATCCAATAACCAAAAATTTGGATGATAATACCATGCAACAAGATCAATAAATAATTGAGCTCAAAAACTACTTTCAGATTATTCTCTCGTTGTGGTCATCCAACCAATGCATGAGAAAGATTGACATTTTACCCACAACGTTTCTCTCATTCAGCTGTCAACACAATTAAAAAATGAGCAACGATCAACAAGCAAACGTCGATATAACCATCACGTAAGTCATCATCACACAATCATCTCCTTCTCATCATTAAATTATTGCTGTTAATCAATATACACAACAACAAAATAGCGAACTTTTAATTGAATATGAAGTCCTTGTTCATTCACATTCTCTTGTAGCAATAGAGTCAAGTGTTAGAGGTGAAATTGTAGAAAAATATCGACATGTAAGTTATTGTTGTGTGTTTATTTGAATTATAATAGTAAATTGTAAAATTGTGTGATTTGGCATTGTGTTGTATTGCTATACACACAAACGATTAGAATCAAGAATATAAAACCAAGAATATTAATTTCCAATATAACTTGGAAAGTTTGAAATGCATTCTGTCTCGCCTTTCAAAGAATAAGGCCAATCTGTTGAAAATTTTGGACATGATGGCTGATATCATCAATTCGTATACATTACTTAAGGATTTGAACAGTAAGAAGAAGATTGTAATACCAGAAAAGAAGGAAGTAGATTATATTGATAACAATGTAATGAGTCATATGAGATTATGTTTACAATCATATAAGGAAAATTTGTAAGTAACTTGGTCAAATCATTGAGCTAACAACTCTCATGTTAATTGGTTGGTGGACCAAACTCTCTATGATAACACTACTACACACAGAGATAAACAAAATAACCAAGGAAAATTGATAATTCCAGACAAAATTCACAAGATTTGTTACGATAGAATTTATAATGATATTTTTATTGAAGAGTGTGGAAAACTTCTCGGAGAAATTTCAAGCTTCCAAATGGACAGTGTTTTACAAATTGTCTTGACAAGTTTTGAAAAAGTTGGTAAATCACAAAATGAGGCCAAAAACTTTCAACCACTTCAAAAAATTACAAAACATTTAGATTTCTGTTTTGCTGATGAAGAACGTACTCATGGAACTCTTGCTTACCTTGATGCTATTCGTACTAAACTTCCAAATATGAAAAAGGGTAAGAAGGATCTCATGCCATTCATTTGTGAAACTTTAATTCATATTTTTGAGGAAATTCTCACTGGACAATACATGTTTGATGAAATTCAATTACTTGAGAATAGTCAACATTGGGAAAAGCGTAAGAAGGAATTTAAATCACTTAATAATGAATTGAGTAATAGATTTTGGGGATGTTTCCAAGAAATCTATGATAATTTGTTGAAGATGGCTTCAAAGAAAGAAGCTTCATCATTTGATCTTGTAAATTGTATGGCAATGATGACTTGTCGTGCAAAGGAGGACATTTACTTCCAAAATGTTCCAGAACTCATCAAATTGTACACTGCCGGTCTCAAAGATAAGAAGGAAAAATTCGATTTCTTCAAATCAATCAAATCATTTGTAACATATGTACCTAATGAATATGTTACAAAAGATCTGGAAAAGTTCAGTAACTTTATTAAATCTGTTTCAGATCAAATTTTCAATAAGAAGGTGGTACTCAATGAATACAGACAAGATGCTGAAACATTCCTTGTTGAATATGCCAAGAAACAACTTCATAGAACATGGCCTAAACTCATGGAAGAAATTTTGAAACCAGAAAACCAAAAAGTTTACACTAACGAACACAGAGCTGTTGCATTGTCATGTATTGCTAGAGTTGCAAGACTATTCCCTGATGAAATTGCAAAGCAAAACTACTTGTTGGGAGTTGTTTGTACAAATATCATTTTAGATGAAAAGATGAGAACTGATGTTACTCTATTGAGAAATGTTCTTAAATGTTTCCCTCGGGTCAGACATACATCTGAAGAAAAGATGAATGAAATTAGAAATATCATTGGTACTCATTGCTTATTACATCCTGATAGAACTGTTTCTAGAAATGCTGCTGAGGCTCTTGTTTCCTCTGTTGAAATGGAACCAGGTAAAATCCTTGATGTTGTCGAAAAATTCAGAGATGTTTTGATTAAGGTTAATGAAATTACTCCAGAAAATGCTTACAAATTGTTGAAGGATTTATTCCTTGTTTTGGAAACATTTATTCATAAGGTTCAAGAATCGGAAAAACTTATTATTGGATTAGACATTCAAGGATACAACTCTCTTAGAAAGAAGGTTGAAGGAATGTTACTTTTGTATATTATTCATACTGCCCCTACTGTCAGAAATCAAGCTGTCAAGACTCTTAAACAATTGTCTAGACCAGAACTTAAAGCAATCACTAAGGAAATTTCATCAAATTGTACTTATCTGATTGATGACGGCATGCTTACTTCCCCAAAGAATGACAGTTCTGAATGGTTACCTTGCGTAGAAGAAATGTGCAAGAATCACGTTGATGATGCCATCACTAAGGCATGGGAAGAATTGATAAAGCGTTGGAGTACTGGTGTTTCCAGACTCGATAAGATTGATCTCCTCTCGAATCATTTGAGATTCCTCTGTGCTGCAGCTAGACCAACACTCGCCTCAAAGGCAGAACCATTCTTCAATGAATTACTCCAATTGTTAACTAAGAATTGCCCTCATAACGAAATTAAGACAGCAGTTTTGGGAGCTTTAGAATTGGTCCATCCAACAAGCATGTACATGATCCTCTCACAAATAAGATCCATTGATGTAGCCAGAACCTACATCAAGAAGGAGCATAGAATTGAAAGCTCCGATCCTGCTTACGAACAACACATTATTTCCTTGCTAAAGAGATTAATTACCAAGTCCATCTCAAATGTTTCATCCATTTCACCAACTGATTTCCTCTTTGTCAAGCAAGGAATTGCTGTTAGAGATTTCTTTGATGAACTCATTTCTAATTGGACAACCAAGGATAGAATTGATGTTAGAGACATTACAGGTTCTTTCCTCAATAATATTGACACTTGGAAAGACGCTGCTGAAATTATTGCAACTTACCTCAAGCATTTGAATACCATCAGTAAGCAAACTGCTCTCGAAAAGGGAACAGATATTTCTGATCAAGCTGTTACATACAGTAATATGTTCAAAAAGCACACTGTCAATCAATCTTTGGTGTATCTCTTCAAATTCTTGCATTATGACCACATTGGACTTTATTGCCAAGAAGCTGCTAATGGTATTCAACACATTTGTTCATTTGGAATGATTGAAGATGAAAAGTTTATCAATGACATTTTGAGATATTGTGAACAAGTTATTGTTCGTAAGAAAGATGAAGTTGACGTTATTCCAGTCATGTCAGAATTTTTGAGAAATAATCCTCAAACTCTCAGAACCTTCATTATCAACTCATACTATGAATCCTTCAATAGATATATCAAGGAAGAACTCGATACTCAAGACGAATCTGAAGATAAATCAAAGAAATCCAGTAAAGGAACCAAGAAGGAAGTTGAAGCTATGCTTGAATTAAAGGAAGAAAAGAAAGAAGAAAGAAAGAAATTCACTGAAAGAATTCCAAATATTTGCAGAGCATATCTCTCTGCCATTGTAAAGGTTATGGAAGATCACCTTGATCATTGGATTCAAGAACAATACACCACTTTGGGAGGCATGTTCTATATTGCACTTGTCCACTCATGCACCAGAGGTAACATTTCACTCAGAGATAAGGCTCATGAATTGATTAATATTGTAATCAAATCAGATACCTCTGAAGGAAATATCAATTATGGAACAACCTATCACTGTACAAGTGTTGGTGATGAATGTGTCTTTAAAAAGACTATTTACAACTTTTCAGAATATGTTTCAAAGACTGCTCCTTTGATTACTGCTGATTTGTTTACTGAAGCTGATAAGACTGTTGATTTGTTGGATGGTGTTAATAAGGAAAATACTTTGAGAATTCTCACACCATGGTCTTACAATTTCGGTCTCTATGTCAAGACATGTTTGGATTCTGCAAATACTTCTGATGCTGCCTACAAGATGAAAGATTTCACTTCTCAAAGACTTTTGAAGATTATCTTTACTATTACTGAAAAACTCCACGGTGATGAAGATTCACAAACCGACGATTATCCAATGACTAATAATTTGAATAAGCACTATTTGGAAAGAATTTGGTACAACCTTATCAAATCATCAGAAGTTTGTAAATGGGTTATTCCAGAAGTTGTCAAGTTTATTGTTGAAAATTATGATTATTCATTCTCAAATAATACTCAACCTGTCAACACAACCCATACCTTGTTGAGAGCTGTCTTTGTTTATATTTGTAGAGATGAAAAGAGCTTGCCGCTCATCCTTGAAAACCTTGTCTATTATTTGAGAGATTACAAGGAAAAGGTACCTGAAACTAAGAAGGAAGTTGCCAAATATCTCGTCGAAAGAGGTTTACAGGAACCTGTTGATGCTGAATTCACTAGTCTAGAATTCAGTGCTCTCCAACTCTTGGTTGATATTACCTATGAACATGATGTTGCACTCATTCCTCATTTACCAAAACTCTTCATGAATACCATTGTTCTCTTCAACTCTTGTCAAAATACTAGAACATTTATTGAACCTAAACTCATCTTGGAAAATATCCTTCAATCACTTGCATTGAGAATGAGAGATTTGAATACTTCTACCATTCACTATGTTGAAAAACTTACTCAATTCCTCATTGAAAATTTGAGAAAGTCCTCTCAACAAAAGCTTACACGTGTTCGTTCATTCATTGTTCAATGGACAGAATATGTATCAAAGAAGCACAGACCAGATTTGGCTGAAGCTATTTCTGAAATGGCTCTCAATTGGGCTTTACAAACAAAGGACAATAAGATTTCACTCGAATCTTACTATGTTTTTGAAGCTTTGAACAAGAACTTCTCATGTGATGTCATTGAAAAGTTAGTGATTGGTTTCTTTGATGCTGTCAGAGTTAGAGATGATGCCAAGATTTCTATCATTATGGATATTTTCTTCAATATTCCATCTGATAAGTTGGCTCCTCCTCGTGTATCTAAATTATTGTTCCAAGTCGTCTTTTGGCTCTTCTTCTCCTGGAATAAGACTCACTTTGCTCGTGGTTTGAAATACATGCTCAAGTTGCAAGGACTCACCCAATATGATAATATTGATGAATCCGTACTCAATTCATCCATGTACAATGTATGGAAGGGTTACACAGGTGAAGAAACTGTTGATGTTAGCGTCTCTAGAGTTATTTTCAAGGGAATATTCGATACTGAAACATTTGCTGAAACCTTTGATCTCTTGAATAATTTGGTTGTCAGATTTGAATCATACATGACCAAACAAAGCAATATGATGATTGCAACTATTTTGGTTGTTCAAGGTATTCTATACCTTTCTGGTGACTTCTCAAAGAAGGCTCAATTGCAAAAGTTGTTGGATAGAAACGAAGGTTTGGTGGATTTCAAGAATGCTTTCAATACTCTTGAACAATCCTTCACTCAAGTCAAGGCCAATTTGGTAACAAATGAGGAAGTTATCTCAGAATTGACAGAATATAACAAGTGTATGACTCAGTTTACCACTGACTTTGCATCTGCCTATCAAAAGATATTCTCAAATAAGAGTGGCAGCTTTATTAATTGGGTATTGGTTTCCCTCACCAAAAATTCTAACATCAAGTGGTCTCTTGCCTCTGTTCTTCTTACTAGCAAATTGCTCCCAGTCATTTTCCAACCTGGTTTGTGGTCTATTGAAGAAATTAGCAGTGTCTCTTGTATTGCTAAGGAATGCATGTCAGATGTTAAGCTTGTTTCATATTTGAGAAATCCACTCCTCCACAATTCTGCCAAGGATATTACTGAATTTATTGCCTTCCATGCTCATGAAAAGCAAAAGAAATACACCAAGAAGGAGGTTGAAACTGTTTTCCCATACTTGGAACCAACTCTTGGATTCTTGAAAAGTGTTCGTTCAGAGAAACCATCCAATAATGAATCATTCGTTGGAACAAACACTGTTGAAAAGGATATTACTCGTAGTGAAATTTTGTGTCGTATGTGGTATCAAACATTTAGTCTCCAAATTGATCCTGCATCCAACAATGAAGAAGCATCACTCCTCACTTCAATTCTCGAATTCAAATCTGAAACTCATGCCACTGAATCAAATATTTCTCCTGTCATTGCAAACTATGCCAAAGTCATTTCACAAAGAAAGACCAAACCACTCTCTGATATTCCAGAATCGGATGCTCCACCAACTGTAACCCAGGTAAATGATATTAATATTGATGATGTTGAAGATGAAGTAGAAGAAGCAATTATTATTCCACCACCTCCAGAATCTGATAGTGAGGATGAAGAAAGTGAGAAAACTCAATAAATAATTTAATCTTGTTTCAAAGATGAATCTTAATCCTATTCTTATTCTTTCTTCTATGTCAATACAGACGCTGACTGCGGTCTATGAGGAACAGTGTATCTGTTCTGGTTTGAGTTGTAAGAAGATTGAGGTCTAATCCGTAATTTAGAGTTATCTACTCTTGATGCTGCAATATCTGGAGGGGGAGTAAACTCACTCCTTCCAGATAATCTTGCAGAAGTTGGGCGAGCAATACTATCTGACAACTCTTTTCTAGTATTGGACGATGTTGTTGATTGTTTGAATGTTTTGTTTGGAATTGGTGGGGTGTTAAAGCTGTAAGGGGATTTGCTTGAAGATATGGATTCGATTTTGCTTACTTGTGAAATATTAGAAGCTATCTCATCCAAATCAAGACTGGATCTAGTTTTTTCGGGTGAATTATATACAACTCTCTCATTTGCAGGATTATTCACTGAGATCGAGATGAAATTATTGTTTGTACTTTTACCAACTCTGGCACTCATAGGTCTAACTGGCAAAGAAACACTTGCTGCCTTCTTTCTTAGAGAAATAGACGCCGAAGATGGTCTGACTAGGTTTGTAGGTATCGAAGGAATATTATTTACAGAAGAATTGGATGTGTAGCTTTGTCTGGATGATAGAGAAGCTGGAAGTTCCTTAGGTTCAATGTTTTCAGAATTAATTGCTGATGATCCTGATATCATTAGGGTAGAAGGGAAAGTATTCTTTCGTTTGTGTTTTGGATTAGTAAAATGTTGATCAGGATTAAATTTAGAGTTTTGTAGAGCTTGAGTTGTTGCGTTTGCCTTATTCATAACTTTTTCCCGTATTGATCCAAATTTAAAATCTGAAGCAAAACTACTATATAATGGTACAGATGGATCATCAAGACCTGATCGCTCATTAAACATATAATACCAATATTTAACTTCCGAGAGTGAGGTTTGGCCAAATGATGTTGATTGTCCTCCACTGTCAACTCCGTTAACCTTAATTCTGTTCGGATGATCGGGAAGGTATTTTTGTTGTTCTCTTTTTAGCACAATAGGGCTTCTCCCTTGAACTTTTTCTGTTGTTGTTGAATTCTTAGATTTGACTTGATTTTTCTTCATTCCTCCTTCTCTGTATTCATACATAAATACTATTTTGATATTAATTAAATTATTTACCTTAGGTAAGAAAAGGGAAGGTTTGCTCCTTCAAATCTTTCATCGGGAGGAAAGGGAAGAATATTACGAACATTATCACCATTAATCATTGCCGAACGCCTAGCGTGATTACTTTTTGGTGACATTGGTCTTCCCTTACTAGCATCTTTTATAAATTCCTTCTTTCGATACTTTTAATTGTCGTTGATGATCTTGGTGATGATGTGATGTAACCTACCTCCAGCAATTCTGTCCTAGTTTTGGCCGTTTGATTGTTTTCTGGCCGTTTTTCATCCATTTTTTTTAAAGTAGTTGTTTGGCGGGAGTTTTTATCTCTCAACGTTAATCAGAATCCTTAACCATAAAATTATTTTATCAAAACTTTCCTTATTAATGATTTGGAAGTCAACAAGTGAATTGGCCATTAATAAAAGTTTTAAATAATTTATTTAGGATTTATAATTTAATCATCGTTCTTACCAAAGGTTTCAAAGCTGAATGGACGGAAGAGAGAACCAGTACCCTTGAAGAACTTGTTTTGGAATTCGACCCAAGTCAATCTCAAAGCGTGCAAGAAAGCAGACAAAGATTCCATGACAAGCAAGACACCAATGGTCATACCGAACCAGAGAGCGAAAACAAAGAAAACACCAACACCACTGTGTACAACGGCAGTTTCAACTTCTGGCATGCTTTCAAGTTGGTTAAGAATGAGACCAATGGTCATTTGCCAAAAGACTTCAGCAAGCTGAGCGTGAGCAAGTGACAAGGCCCACAAACGCAAGTATGAGGCAGTGTTAGAAACAGTACCCAAAACATATTCAATAGTGTGAATAAGTTGCTTAATGAACAATTCAGAGAATGGTTCCATTTCAGCATGACCTTCACCATGAGTATGAGCAACGTTATCGTGACCATCAGTACCATCCAAAATAGCAACGTGGTGGGATTCATCACTGTTAGAATTGACAACTTCAGCATCATCAACCTTACGGTGCTTGAACTTTCTCTTTTGTTTGAGGTATTCAGCAATTGGCTTTGGAATCAAGAGAATTGGAACTGAGATAGCAGTAATAAGCAATAAAGCCATTTGAGCATAAGATTGTCTAGCTTGAGCTTCAGCAACGTCACCACCATAGTAGAACATTGGAGGTTGAGACATCTTCCAAGGACTCAAGAAATAATCAGTCATCATTGGCAAGATTTGAGGAGGATCAAATTTACCGCTGTGAACTTCATCACCCCAGTTAACACACCACTTGTAGACGATCAAAACACACATATAACCGAAAGTACACCACAAAATGAGGACTTCAGGAATGAATTCAACAAAGATATCCAAAAAGTGGCCGAATTGAATCATGTTAGCCAAAGCAAAGAAGAGACCAATACTCATGTGACCGACACCGAAAATGACGGACATCTTCATCTTAATAGAGTTATAGAACAACAACTTGTTTGAGGTATGGAACCAAGCTGGATCAACACCAAATGGATAAGTTCTACCAATCTTTTCACCAACGTGTTCAGAGTTGAATTCATAAGCAGATGGGAAAATATCGACAGCCAAACCTAAACCGTCATTGTAGAGGAAACCAGTATAAATAGAGAACAAGCCCATCAACACTAAAATATATCTACCTTGGAAGACCATGGCAAGCAATTCACTGTTTTCAGCGATTGGCTTCAACTTCTTTTCAAAGACAACCATAGCAATGGCAGCAGCAGCCAAGAGAATACCGTGACCAAAGTCACCAAACATAACAGCGAAGAGGAAAGGGAAAAGAATGACAGCAGCAACAGCAGGGTTCATTTCCTTGTAATCTGGAATACCATATGAGTTGACAATTTGTTGGAAAACGTCAGTAAACTTGTTGGTTTCAAAGTAAGTTGGAGGAGTTTCAGTAGGTTGTACAATATCACAAATGGATGGAACTTGAGCATTGGAAGCAAGTCTAGCTTCTTCCATTTCTCTCTTGACATTTTCAAAGTTCTTTTCAGCAGCCCAACCAACAGCAACAACTGAACCCTTAATGTCATAGTTGAAAAGATTGAGTGTGTGGAAAATAGCCTTTTCCTTGTGGACTCTTTCCTTCCATCTTGGGAGGTTGACAGAAATCTTACTCAAAATATCAACAACACGAAGCTTTGAGCTTTCAATAGTAGTATCTAATTCGTTAATCTTTTGTTGAACAGATCTTTGAGCACCAGCAACATCATCTTCTGGGAAATCGTGAATAGAAGCACCCAAAGCTTCACAGACCTTCTTGACCTTTTCCTTTGCAGAGGAGGCACCAAAGAAAACAGTGAAAACACTCTTTTCAATAGATTTACCACTCTTGGCATCAAAAAGTGGAGTTGGAATTTCAACCATTCTTGGTACAACGTTACCACGAGTACTACGATAAATCAACATCAAGAAGGTGGAAATCTTTTCACGTGGAATGACACCAGTCAAATAACCAAGGGAAGAACCTCTAGAAACCATCAAACCACTTTCGCTATCACCAGAGTAACTTTCTTCGTCACCCTTGAAAAATTGGGCGGCCAAGTTGAGGACATAGCTATATTCTTCAGCCTTGTTCTTTTCAGCAACCATTTGATCCAAATTTCCAGACAAATCACGGAGTTCCTTTTCATGTTGAGAAAAGTCTCTTTCAAAACTGTCCAAAACATTGCCGTATTCATTAGTTTCTTCATCATTAAAATCGGCTCCTTCAGAGAATTTAACTTCAGACTTTTCAATTTGGTCTTCAAAGAAACGAATAATTCTGTCCAATTCTTCGCAACGCTTGACTTCGTTAGCGAATTGTCTTTGGAAAGCGTTCAAATGGGAAGACAAATCTTTAAATTCGACATAGCCCAATTCACCCAAACGTTCAACAGTTTGGTGAGCAGCTTCACGTTGCATGGTCATTTCGAGAAGGACCATGTTCTCGCTACGCCACATTGATGAGCCTTTTGTTCCCGCGATAAGATGGGAAGTAGCCATATTGTTGTTTGTATTTTTTTTAGATAAGAAAAAATATTTTATTATTTTTTATTGTAAACGGAGTTGGATCATGTTTAGAAAAGCTGCCTGTTTTTGTGTCTCCGGCCCTTGCTAATAATAAAAATCTAATACTTTTCCAAATACTTTCAATTAATCAGTGGATGGCTCCATTGAAATTGTTTTAAATCTTAGTACTGTAGATAATTCAACAATTTGACATGTTTTGATGGAGTAACAGGTCAATCATTGTCTATTTCTTCTAAGCCAATCGTTTTGTGGAATGGCAAGTGGATTGAGATTCTTATCCACCTCTGCAATATGTTGCAATGAACGATGATAAACATAGGCAGTGATTGGATTTTGAGAAGATTTTTCAATTAGCACACATTCATCTGAATTAGTTTCCATTACTTTCTTATCATAGGTTTCTTTACAGACTGGATAGGCATGCACTGCAGTTCTATCGTACACTAATTATATTTCAATCACATCCATTCCATTAAAAATCATCCAATAATATTTGAACAAACTTACTCGATGGATATTCCTCAATTTCATCAGCAACAATTAACAATTTCTTCAAAATTCTCTTGCACAGGTTCACTCACTGAAATAATATATCCGTAAATTCTATCATTCGGATCGGAAGTGAAAACAGCAACCGGATCTTTTCAATTATTAAATATTCAATATATTTAACTTTAAAAACCTACAATCGGAAAAGTACATTTTAACTCCCTCTATAAATCCAAACTCTGCCAATGCTTTATAGGAATCTGGATTATTGAATGAATGTGTCCAAGCTGCCTTTGAGTCGTCATCAGGTCTCAAAGTTCCATACACGAATAAATTCACAACATTTTGTCCATTTGGTTGTGCTGACATTTTTTCAAAGAATTTAAAATCTTTAACAAATTGACTGGGAAAATAAGATTTAAATAGTAAATGATTGTTATCTGGATTATTAGGATTGTTTTCAAGATGTTGAAGTCCTTCATTATTTGTTAATTTGTTGGGAAACTCTAAGATGTGAAAGAATGCAATAGCAAGAGCAAAACAAGTAAAAAACTTCATCAACTTACAAATTGAAGAGTTGAGAGATGCTTTTAATGTTAAAATTACAATAGAGGGTCTACCAATGAAGATTTTCTTCAAATTGAAACTTTACAATAATTCCAACTCAATCTCAATTAGATTCCAACATATTTAAATGTATTCAACCTCTCCAGAATAACGTGTCCCAAAATCACGTAACCATTTCATTGGTTCCTTCATGAAACGTGAAACCTCTTACAAAAACTCAATTATTTAAAAACGTGACAATAAAAAACTGAAACGTGATTTCCATAAGAAAAAAATGCTGTCATTGAAAACAAGCCAATCCGAAACTTTTTCTCCAACGTTGCCTCCTTCGGCTTCAGACTCCTCCTCCTTATCATCCATGTTGCCAGATATTGAAAACTGGAGTAATATGGATGTGAGTATGATTCTTGTCAATTCGGGAGAAGTTTGGGTGGTTAGGGATCAAAGTGAATGGACAAAGTTGATCAATGGAATACACGGTGAAGAAAAAAAGTGTTTGGTTGTATTGGATTCGAATGGAAAGTCTGTAAAGAAGGTGAGTGACAATTGATCAATATATTTAAAGGGTTTAATGTGTTTAGTTTGATCAATCAACAATTAATTATTTGATTTGTAAAGGAAAGTTAGAAGATAAAGAAAATTCATCAAGTGAAGTAATGAGGGGATTGGAATTATTTAATGAATATGTACAGTACTCTATCAGGAAATTTGAGAACTCGAGAATTAACTTGAACTCCAGATTGGAAACCCTTCAGAAAATGAATTTCAAAGAGAAATATCATAACTTTAAATTGGAACAATCATTGAATGTTGATTTCTCAAAAATTGTTAATGAAATGCAGGAAAAGCTAAGGCTTGTAAGAGAAAAAACCAGACTGATTGTTGTGGAAATGAATTCTTTTCTAGCTCCAAACTTGAGAAAGTCTATTGATGGTTTATCAATTCAAGAGAGGATTGAGTACTTTGATAATCTTATCAATAATTTCACACAAATTAAGAAACTGTTCAAAAATCCATTTGACGACATGACAAAAAGATTGTTTGATGAATTATTGCTATTTGATGGGTTTGAACCTTATTATCGTCTTACATTACAAGAATGTTCTAGAATTAATAATGTAAAGAGAGAGCTTGAGAATTATTTACAACAAGCACGAGAAGAGGAACAGGAAAATCAAGCACAATTCAAAGAATTCATAGGTATAGAGAAATTCAAGTATGTGCTAAAGATTGCTCCAAGTATTGTGGACTACATCTCAAACGAGACAAACTCCTCCATGGAGGATGTAGTAGAAATGGCTTCTTCCATCCAATCTGTTACAAACATTCAAGGAGAAAACACACTTTATTCTTTAGAAGAAGAGGAAATGGATGAAGATCAACAATTAAAAGACCAAGAAATACAAGATTTGAGATCACAAATTGAAGGTTTAAACAATCGAATTGCCGAATTGAACAACCAGGTTAATGGGTGTGATGTAAAGAATAACTCATTAATTATTGGGAATGTTGAGTTTACTAAAATGTTTGAAAAAGAGATGCAAGACATGACAGACAAATTTAACAAAGAAATTGAATGTTTGAAAATGGAGAAGGAAGAAATCGAGAAAAATATGAAGGAGGAGAAGGAAAATATGTTACAACAACTTGAAATTGAGAAGCAACAACGCCAAGATTATGAAAAACAGATCAAGGCATTACGTGATGATGTCGAATATTTGAAAAACGAGAAAAAGAATGAAAATAATAAGGCCAACAAAGAGATAACTGGATTGAATGAGCAATTGAAAACTGAGAAAGAACAAATTTCCAAGTTAATGAAGCAACTATCCTTCCTTAAAGAAGAATCTGAAACAGAAGAGGCTAAATATAATGCAAATATTAAGGAACAAAAGGAAAAGTATCAAACATTGTTGACAGATCTAAACGAAATTCAGCAGAAGTTGGAGTCCAGCAAAGGAGAATGTACTGCTGTTAAATCTCAGTTGGAAGAAAATGCTGGAAAGTATTGTGAAAATATATCAAACCTTGAAGGTTTAATTGTAATGTTGAAGGATGAAATAAGGAATGATACACAAAACTATAACGAATACCAGCAAAAATATTTTGACTCTAAAATTCTCTTGGAATCATTAGAAGTAAAACTATCTGAAAGGGTTGAAGAATTGAAAAAAGTGTATGATATTAACAGTAATTTAGAATACCAATTAGGAGAAAGTAACCACGAAAAGGAGAAATTAATGGAAGATTTCAAAATATTACAGGATCAATTAGATATGAAACTCAGCATGTGTGTGGCAGAAAATTTAAATCTGGAAGAAAAGCTTAAAAATTTGGAAAATGAAAAGGAGCAATTATTGATAAGCTCATTTGTGGATCCACCAAATCAAACAGATGCTTCTAATGACAAACAAAAAAGACTTTTAGAGAGTTTGGCGAATCAACTTCAATTAATATCTTTTTCCTTGGCAAGTGTTATTCAAGATAGAGCAAGATGGATTGATAATGTTCTTGAAATACTAACAAATCTTATTACTGGTGAAATTGACAATCTCGATGAAGACCAACTCAATGACATTGTGAGAGGACTATGTAATAGATGGCACTTTGCCAGAGATAAGAAACTCATTGATGAGAATGGTTCTGATGCTAGAGGAATAGGGCATTGAAATAAATCAATTGAGAACATTGTAAACATTTATACTTTATTCCTTACAAATTAACTTCACCTTGTCAGTTTTGCTGAAGAAAATGAAAAGTATAGGAACACGTCTGCAAAGAGATGAAAGCAGGCCAGTTTCGAATTTGGCACAACCTTCAAAAGACTATTGAAAAATCGTTTATATTGAGTGGATTCAATTTTATTCAACATGAAAAGTCCAAACTGGAAAGTGAAACTCCATCATTGATTGAGCAGGATTTGAGGGAGCTGCATTCTTTCTCTTCTTATACTTTCGTCTTCTTGTTAAATGTTCCTGATTGGAAATATAACAACTGCTCGTTGTGGAATTACTGGATGATATGGAGCATGAAGAGGATTTTCTCTTCTTGCCTATTTTTTTGTATTTAGCTCTTTCACCTACAGGGTTGGTCCCGGCCAATGGTTGAACATTATTCGAATCTAAATTGTATGATGCAGTCAAGTTTGTATTGAATGTTGTTGGATCACATAACATATTGTTCATAGAACCTTCCAAAGACCTTTCATCTTTGATTTCAACAATTTGAATAGTTGGTGATTTGGCATTCGAATATTGAGTTTCTTCTCTTGCAACTTTCAATAACAACTCCCAACTTTGCATGATATCATCAACATCTAGCTTTAAACAACATTCTTCTCCTGAGCTCAGTATAACGTTATCATTGATTTTGGGTGAGAATCTATGGGAATAATCATTCATCCGACATGTGGCAGAAACACTTGACATCTTTGTTGTTAATTTTCTTTTTAATTGTATTATGCAACACGTTTTCAAGGTAAGAGAATCAAACCAAAAAGAAAGAGAATCCACCACTACAATTTTGTCCAGTACACTTCCTTTCGTATTTTAAATGTTCCAATAGTTTAGAACGACATCATAACATTATCTGAAACGGCAGTACTAATTGTACATAGTTGTTCATACACCACCAAAAAGTCAATCAGGATTCTCTCGATGTTTAGTGCGAAATGGGTAAATAAAACTCCATGAAAATCAATAAGTTCTAAACTGTTTATAAAATACTGTTTTGAGATGTCAAAGCTGATGTTGCTATGGAGAAAACTGTTCTTTGACGTTGTTTGATTGGGTTGGCAAAGAAGCATCGAGTGATTTTGCATGAAAGCGACAAGAGCTGAGTGGAGTCCATTGTTTACATTTGACAAGATTTGGATTTGAGAAATGATATTCTACTTGTGTTGAGATATTCATAATTTTGTAATCATGTTAAAAGAGTAGTGATTTTAGTGATTTGTTGATGCCTATATGATGGCAATTAAACAAATATTCGAAAGTCCTTGATGATTAGTGGAGGACTAGAGTAATTGGCGCAGATTTCATTTCGTTTTGATTAGTCCAATTCAGAGAACGTACATGGAGCCTTATTCTTTTTTAATACATCGTATTGATGAACCCCAACTAGTATTTATATGAAATACATCAATTTGACTGACTCAATGTTTCTAATGAAAACTTATCAACTTTGTTAAATTATGACAAATGTTTTTCAATTTCATACTACAAAAGATACAATAATTTTCAATACTCTTTGCAATTCATTAGCCAAATTAGAATTCTCAATTGAGAATACATACAACAGTACCTGGAATCCTCACTTAATACTCTTATCCTTTTGGGACAAATAAACCACTTGGCATGTTAGCCTTTCTTATCAAGAAATAAGGGTTGACTATAATTATAGTTCTTGCAAAAGACTTTAATGTTTTATTTATGAGACTTTGCATTCTTCAACAAGAAAGAAAACCAAAGCAAAAGCAATAATTTGTGCCTATTGTTACATCCAAAAGTTTAGTAAAAACACAAATGTTTTTGTTTCTGCAAAAAAGCCTTTAAAAAACCATGTCGAGCCCGCTCTCGATTTCAAAAATAAAAATAAATTTTAAAAAAAATGAGCGAAGATACCAAAGACATTAAAGCTGAAGGAAAGGGTGAACAACACATTAACATCAAGGTTGTGAGTCAAGTAAGTAGTAATAGCAATGCGCAATCATCAGGAGGCTAACTATTTTTTATTATTTTTTTAATATATTTAAAATAGGATGGTGTTGAAGTTTTCTTCAAGATTAAGAGATCAACCCCTTTGAAGAAGTTGATGGATGCCTATTGCAAGAGACAAGGTCTTTCTCCAGCTTCCGTTAGATTTGTTTTTGACGGAAACAGAGTCACTGGTACCGAAACTGCTGATCAACTTGAAATGGATGACCAAGACGTTATTGATGTTTTGGTTGAACAAACTGGTGGTTCATTCTAAATTATTAAAACTAAGAATTTAAAATTGTAATACAATTTACTATCTTTTCATTATCTATTATTTTAATGCTAGCCTTTTTTGATGAAGAGTGAAACTTTGGAATTCCAACAAGCAAATTTGTTTATGATTCCCTCACCAATTATGATACAAATAATTTCTATGAATTAATTCTCTTCTTTTAACACCAATCATTGGGAAAGATATCTTTTAATATCTGAAATACCTTATGCTAGGTCCAAATAATGAACATTCTTAAATCAGAAATAGCTGATAAAAGGAAATTTGCAAGTTCCAAGTTTTTTGAGCTTAAGGCCATCCAATCTGACTCTACATTTTCATGAATCCACATTTCGCTGTTTATCATAATTTAACTAATTAGGTTTACTAATGGATACTATAATTATCCAAATAGCTGTACCTACAAGCGAAAGGAACGACAACAAAGATCTGATTTTTCTCATCATATGCAATCGTTCCATTCCTTGATTCGTATACTTTTGGAAAGGTCAATCCAAAAAGCTCAATATCAAGTTCTGAAATCTCCTGTTCGAACCAAGTCTGAAAAGGAGTCTCCAAACAAAGAAACCTACCCACCTCTCCTATACTATCATCCTCATGTTTTTCGAAAGTTGTACATCGCTCATACATCAAAGATTGAGATTTAAATTCGGCTTTGAAGGATTTAAACTTGTCCAAGTAATGCAAGAGAAATTCGCCATCGTAGAGAGAAGTTGAGTAGACATTATTTCGAACGGTGACCCTTTTTGGCTCCTTATCACTTGTTTTCCATTTTGCTTTCGAATAGTCTATTAAATAGTGAAATATGTCATGGTTGAATCTATTCGAAATTCTAAATAAATTGAGCAATAGTAAACAGGGCGACCATTTAACAATTTCCAAACATTGTCCTGTTTCTATTTCCAATCGCAGATTCAATCTTTCCAATAAAACAGACGAAATTTCAACTCTTGAAAATGTGTTATTGTAAAATTCTTCCAAAACTTTCCTAAATTTCACACATTTTCCCAATCCCCATTCGAATCCATCAAAATATTCCCTTTCCGATATAATTCCATCACAAAACTTGGTTGCCAACCTGAAAACAGCATTTCCAAAAACACATCTATCTGTATTCACTTGTTGTAATTGTTTATGGAAAAATCTATTCGATAGTTCCAACAAGTAAATTGATGGAATTTTCAAATAGGATAGAATATGATTGCATAAATCTTCATTATCGGTAAAGAGTGCGTAGAGAACATGTTGTTCTTCTGACATTTTTTTTGATGGTTGACCGAATCTATTGTGTGAATTTGAATCTTCATTGTAAAAGATTAAATAATGTTAATATTTAATAGATTAAGAGTGTGATGAAACGTATTGATAATTTTTTGTTTATTATTCAGACTAATCTTTCGAATAGATTATTTTGCATCATGTTTAGCAAGTGCATCAGAAGAATTGCATTCTCAATGTTTGGATTTTCTGGAGAATCAAACAATGATTCTGATGTGTTTTGTGGTTGGAATGTTGCTGGGATTGAATTTTGTTTACAATGGAATGCTAATTCATCAAGAATCGAATGATTGTTCGATTTCTTCTGGTTTAATTCACAATTTCCTTCTGCACAACCAGTACTGGAAACTGTAGAACTGTATGTCTCAGATGTAGTGGTGGAGAAGGAGCTTGTCGTTCTCACTAATTGTAATCTTTCAGATACAACTATATTACTTTCGTCCTCTTTCTTTTGTACTTTAAATGTTGTCTATGTATCTTTACTATTGTTTTCCATTACAAAGTAGTTCTTGAGAAGATTATTATCGTGAAGTGTCTTTCTCAATTTATAATTCTCTGGTTTCTGATAATCTTTCTTGTGGATTCGTCTTGTTGTTCGAACTGTTTCGTCAATAATTGAAAACTTTCTTCTTGGATTGCTTCCTCTTGAGTTGATCATATTGAGTTTCGAATAAGGATAATTTTTTGAATAATTAATTCTATTCTGTCGCAATAGTTAGTTTTGATTGATGAAAGAAAAGGCTCATTTGAGCAAAATCTGTATCAGGATTAATTAATTCCAAAAGAATCTTCATAAATGGGCTTCACCTTGTCGTGATCTTCCTTTTTAAGATTGAGCCTTTCAATCTATGTCTATCCAAAAACATACATTGGACACGGACCGTTCAAACTCATTGGAAAAATCCAAACATTTTCAAAAACAAACTTTAACTTTATCTACTTTTGTTCGTTGTTTTTTGAAATTGTCGTTGGTTGATCTGAATTGTCTGTAAACTGCATCAATATTTGTAAAAGATCCAAATTTTCAGAAGTAAAAGGTGAAAGCCCGCTCAAAAAACTTGAATTATCCATCTCGTTGAGAGTTTCATTGTTGTGAATGGAATATTGAGAGTTATTGAGAGAAGGTTCTGGATTTGGATCTTCATGCGTTAGAGGAGGATAAGGCGGAATGTCGGAGGGGATTGGCTGAGTATTACTTAACGAAAAGTTATTCGAATGTTGGGTAAAATTATGCATTATTTCAGAGTTCATTAATTCTTGTAAAGTCAATGAACTGTTTTGAAAATGTGCTGAAGTAGTGTTTTGAGAAGATTGGACGGATTGAGGCAAAACTTGCTGTTGTTGGGGTGGTGTAATCGATTTTCTAGAAGAATCCTCACTACTTTCAGATAATTTCGAATAAACTTGAAAGGTTTCCTTTTTGATAAAGCTTTCAGATGATGCAGAAGTGTTGCATGATTGTTGATCATGTGATGAATCTTGAGATGTTGTTTCTGATGGAATTATTTTAAAGGTTGTCACTTCATTAGACGAAACTCTGTCCATCTCAAAGTAATTCTTTAAAAGCTGATCGTTTTGGAGTGGTTTTCTCAGTCGTGTTGATTTCTTTCTTTTCCTTTTCGAAATTTTGTCTCGAGTTCTATTAGTTTCGTCTATTATTGAAACTCTTCTGTTTGAAGAAGTTTCGGATGGTTTTACATTAGTTACATGTTGTTGATGTGTTTCACCTGTTTGGTGTTGATTAAGATCATGTTGATTCATTGTTTTTGGCTGGTTAGTTTCGGCACTCCATTGAATAGTTTCGTATTTTTGAAATTCATTTCTTCTTTCCTGCTGTTGCAAGCTACTTTGAGGGTCTGTTGTTTGAACAGACATTACACGATTGTACTCTTCCTGACTAGTATTCGAATCTACAGAGAAATCAGACGAATGAACATCCTTCTCCTCTCTATCCATTCTTTTTTGAAGCAAGCACACAAGATTCATGGAGAGAGAACACAAACAACAACTTGTTTTGATTCTTTTTTGATTTATTTTGTAAAGTTATTTGTTATTCGAATGAAGTAACAAACTGTAATGTTCGTTCAATTGCATTATCAAGGTAATGTTTGGAAGGTTGTAACATAAAAGACTTGCCCTAAGTGACATGATCAGTCGAAGCGTGATATATTCTATCAATTGTGGTTCGGTAGCTAAAAGCTGTTAGCTCTCACCCCCAAAAAGGTCAAACACAATTACGACATTATTTGCAAATGGAATACATGTATCGAATAAAAAGTGTTTCGCTATGAACTTGAACGAAAAGGCCATTAATGATAATGTCTGATAGCATTGAACTGCTTGAGGTTCATTTTTAATCAAAAATGGCCATTACTAATTTGTATTTGAATCAATCAGTTCTCTCGTTTCTCGTTTACAAATTGGAGATTCTTATATTGGATATTCCAATGTTAGTTGTTCACAATATTGAAGTTTAATTATTGTCTAAAAGTGTGTTTCCAGTATTATTATTATTATTAGCACAGGAAGTCTCAAACGATATTGAATTCTTATTGAAAGGCATCATCACATCTCTCATCTTTACAATAAAATCTCAATAAATCTCAATACTGTACAGAACAACAATTTTCAATGTTCAAGTATAGAACTTTTGCTCACATCAAACTGGCTCGCTACTTGAACTCAATTCCAATTTGTGCGACTTTAGAGCGGAGCTCAACTCGAGATTAAATCCAGACACATTGAGCTTGTAGTTTTCACTACCCTAAGAGTGGATGTAGTTGGTGGTGTAGCCGGTAGCCGGTTACAGCCGGATGGTAGTGCGGGTAGTCGGAAGCTGTTGAATACACCTTCAAAGCCAAAAATTAATAAAAGTTCTATTTTTAAAATTTAACTTTATGGAAATTCATGAAAAACGAGTATTGGTTGAACATTTCTTTGCCAGCAATATTATGAATCAAACATTTACCAATTATTTGATTTAGTGCAACATAGCCTGTTGTTACATGAATGTTTGAATCAATTAATCTATATCCAATAATTGGATGAACCGAAGAGAGACACTTTTTGATGTTGGTGAAATATACTCTTTGCTCTTTAACCTCAACAAATTGACCAACAAGTAAGGAACCATCCTTTGCCTTAAATAAAATAAATTCTTTGTTTTGTACAATTGGAATCCATTTCTTGTTTTCAGATTGATTTCTTACCCAAGGATAATTGATGTTAATTTGTTTTTGAAGTTTTTCAAAATTCGCTCCTCGTTGTTCTAAATTTTTGTGATTGGAAGAGTCATTAAATTGTTTGAAAACTTTGTGTTTCAATTCAAAAAGCAATGCCCAGAAGAACCTGGCATTTCCCCACTTCAAACAATCTTCAAAAATATGAGAATTCCAATGAAAATTAGGATTTGTAAAATTACCATTACCATATAGGGAAATGACTTGTTTCCTGAAATTGAAATGTTTCAATTTTGCAATTTCAATATTTGAAGGTGAAACCAAATCTTGAATCAAAGAAAGTACGTATTCTACGTGATTTGACCAACATATTATATGTTTCTTCTTCAAACTGAATGAAACATCACAGTGATTCTTATTATTAATAAGAAAATCATACATAATTGGGCAACTAAAAACCACGAATTCCAAAAAATGATCTGCTGAACAATCATTGTAATCTTTTGCAATCATTTTCAAAGGTTTACCATGATTGTTTGTATACTTGTCCATAACAGACTGAAAATCACTTAAAATGTTGGTGTAATTGAAATATTTGAAAAATTTTTTAAGGTGTCTCCTTAAATCACCTTGAATAGAACCATGCATTAATTCAACAGTTGAATTTTCAAAAATATCACAATCCTTAATTTGTAAAAACGGACACTTCATTTGAGTATTGTTACTTTGTCGAACTTTTTCTTTTACCTGTTTGGATTTTTTGGACTTGGAATCAATCTGCATATCTTTGATTTGAATATCAGCGACTGTAATAAACTTGTAGCCATTACATGAGGTACCAATTGATAATTTTTGTTGCATTTCAATTGCTTCAGTAACAGTTCTTAAAGGATAGACTAAAGGTGTTGAAATGTCATTAGGACATTTACAATAATCTCCTTTTGGGCATTTACATTTAGAACATGTATAGCTTTCAAGAAATAATGATAGCCATCTTTGTACAGAATCCCAAATCCAAGGACCTATTAGAATTCGAATCTTTTCAATTGAATCAGTGTAAGAGTTATAA